TCAGGAACTAGTGCTTCGAATTGAAAAAATATTTTTGCGTTAGAGATTTATCGAGGAGGCGCTGTGACTAATAGGAGCGAGGTAACAGTGGGAAATATAGAAAGAACGGGGAAAATTATTTATCTTTGTGAGTTTCTGATGCGCACGCTTCGAAAACGGTTTTAGATATCTAAAAAATATGTATGAATGAATGATTCCTCTTTAAATGATGTTACAGATCATATGTCTATCTTTTAAGATAAACTAAGCAACGGGACCAACGGGACCAAACGACGGCACGCGACCGACGTATTGGGAAACAGTTTAAATTTATAAAGATGAAGAGTAGACTACTTCGTCTTCTCGAGGCTTTTGTAAAGTAACTCATGCGTTTATTAGTTCATTATATAGTTTGATATTTTATATCATAGTTTGACTATCTTCCCTCGCGAAATACATACAATTATTTAAGATACATATGTTATTAACATTACCTAACCTTAAGTATTGCCTGTAATCCCCCGTGACTAGGTTAACTAATAATTTCGCGTTTTAAACCGTTAAAAGTGTTTTATTTAAATTTGACTATAAACCAAACTGTAGTAGTTAATCCAGAAGCAGATTAATACACGAAATAAACAATTCTAAGAGCTTGGAAACTGTATGAAAATTGAAATATGCGTGTTTTGGACCGCTCAGTGTTACTGTACGCTGAGGATTTGGGAATGTAGGCCGCATCGTACCTACATAGCATGCATTTGACATCAATTTCACTTACTGAAACGTGTAAAACAAGACATGTGAATTCATTAAAGAAAACTACGTGGAGTTCTTAAAACGGCGCCAGATATACATATAAGTTTTAATTTAATATTAAATAACATTAAAGAGCGACAAAGCAAAAAAAAATACATAAAACAAGAAAGCTTAAGAATATAACTTAACTATCATCTTCTCGTCGAAAGAGATTTTGTTTCATTAGTTCTGTATAAAATTTAGCCGTTGAAGTTATTTTCTTGAATACTTAATATATAAAGCTGAAGAGTTTGTTTGTACGAGGTAATCTCAGGAACTACTTGGTTTGAATTTAAATATTCTTTTTGTGTTGGTTAGAGTATATACCGAGGAAGGTTATAGGCAATAAAACATAGCGCTGCAACTAATAGGAGCGAAGAAACAGCGGGAAATGTGGAAAAACGGGGAAAATTATTCATCCTTGCGGGTTTCCGTTGCGTTCATTGCGAAAACGCTTCAAGATACCCGAAAAATATATTTGGGAGGATAATTTCTTTTTAAATGATCTAAACAAATGTTCCCGATAGTATATATATATATATATCGTTTAAGATTAATTTGCAAGACGGAGACGACATCGTGGGTAACAGCTTAAATTTTTAGAGTTGAACAGCACGTTTTTGAAAACAATTTGATGCCTTCAATAACTAAGTATTTATACGCGGATGAAGTCACACAGCTAGTAATTATATTTCAATAAAACACTTTCAGAGGTTAAAATCTCGAAACGTTTTAGTTAAGTTTATTTACATATTTACTATTACTAATAATTAATTTTTAGCCGTTAAAAGTGTATTATTGACATACTCACGTAATGTTCTCTGTACTTACGTGAATTAAAATAATTTAAGAAATGGTTAGACCAATAGAAATTGACATAATCATATATGTAGTTTGTTAAAGGAATTAGATTATAATGAGTGCCTGAATTCGATTATCTATGATGATCTAGTAAATACCATGCACTAGTGGCCCATACTAATTATCTTGGCCACTGTGTAATTGTTAGAATCGCATGTCAGCACAATTATTTGTAATTGTCGGTACAGGGGTGACATTACAAAACAACATTTATTTTACACTAGCTGTGTCAACGCCTTCGTCCGCGTAGAATAGTTCTTTTGGACATGCAAATCTTTATAAATTTAAGCTGTAATGTTAGTCACGACGTCGGTCGCGTCCCGTCGTTCTTGCAAGCTAATCTTAAAAGATAGACATAACATAGTGTCGCGGAAATTTTCTTAGATTCTTTGTAAATGTTTTTTGGGCATCTTGAACCGTTTTCGCAGCGTCCAGATTGGAGACCCTCTTAGTTAAATAATTTTTCCACATTTCCCAATGTTTCTTCGCTTCTATTAGTCGCATCGTAATGTGTTATAGCCTATACCCTATAGGCTATGCCTTCCTCGATAAATGGTCTAACCAACACAACAATATTTTATCAATTCTATCCAGTAGTTCCTGAGATTAACGCGTTCAAACATACAAACAAATAAACAAACAAACCGTTCAGCTTTATATATTAGTATTGATTTTTAATAACCCATTGATATGAAATATTAATCGACAATTTCTCGAATACCGATATGTGAGCTGGTATGCCATCGCCAAGCCGGCACACCCTGGTATTTCATTCCATCATTGTTATAAACTTTTCTATGAATTCTTTTTAATATCCGTGTAGCTTAGCTTAAAGCTAGAGAATTTCTGAATATCCAAAGCCAAGATAGGCCGACAGCGTAACTTGTGAAGATGTTATAAGGCTGGGGTATTCCTCGAACAGTAAAAAAAGGGGTCTTGAACAAAAAGTTTTGACTGTGTTGGGCACACACAGTTACGTGTTCTAGCTTCTTTGGGTTTGCAACATTCTTTTTGACGGCGAAGAAAAAAGACGACTTTTTCTGTACATAATATATACTCTCTATACGTTTCTCATACAATGAGCCGAATAATGGAAGTTTTCTAAAGATTTATAATGGCGCTTAAATTATTTTATAGAATATAATCTATAATAATCCAAAATAAATAATCTTAAGTACCTACCTATTTTGTTAAACTACTGCTTATTACATATTTTTATTAATAAATGTCATTGTTTTAAGCGTTTTTGTATAATAGATACCTAATAGAAAAATGTCAGTGTCGTTTGTGTTAGCTTGGCTGATAGGGCCACAGAATATCAGTGTTAGGACATTAGTCCCAACGTAACTGAGTAGATTCTCCTTTTAGGGACAACCGTATTTAGTTGTATAAAATTGTAATTATAATTCTTATATTGTTTATAAAATTAGTTTATTACATTACATTTACTTACTTACTAACAAATTAACAATAAATTTGTAAGTAAGTAAGTTAATGTAGTCGAATAAACATTATTCAGAAAACAACACAAATTTCTATTCCATTCTAATTACAACAAAACACTTTTAATTACCCTATAAAACCAATTTATAATATATTTAGTTGACAAATATATCCTAGAATTATAGTTAATTAATCCTACATACCGTTTGTAGTTTACGCGTGTAGTACACATTTAAATAAAACACTTTAACGGTTTAATACGCGATATATATTAGTTAAACTTATTAGATTCGACCACGGCCGTATCCACGGCTGCTGCAAAGCATCCGAAACGTCCGGACGAAGTTAAAATAATTTTCAAATAAGTTTAACTAATATATATCGCATTTCAAACCGTTACATTGTTTTATTAAAATAGATTTATCTTCTGAATGATTCCATCGTTCAATTATGCTGAACTACTCGGTGAAATAACAAATAAACGCGATACTCGTAAACAAAACTAATTCTTCTCTAAACAAATCGCTGTATTAGAAAACATAATCGTCTATTAGCTCAAACTGTTTACACAAATAATTTCCACGTTCAATAATAGAGGACATTTTGTTACTTCGGTAAGGGGGCCTTACCGAAGTACGAGCCTTACGAGTTTTTCACGAAAAATTATTCACTTGACGTTACCATATAACATTTCAGCAAGATGCGCTATCGACGTGTTTTGGCTTTGTATATTCGTAAATTCAAAGACTGCAGCCGAAACGCGTTTATAATGTACTTGACAACTTTTTAGTCGTGGTTCGTGACCCGCACGGAATTTTCTATATCCCTACCACCCATTTTATATTCCAATTCCAGACGAAGTGCAACATGTTCCAGAAAAAATATAAATTTATTTGAAAAATGTTGTACCCATTGGGTATCTTTTAAGATTAACTTGAAAGACACGGACGCGACCGACGTCGGGTCTAACAGCTTAAATAGAACTAGACTGTTTGGTATCAGCTTTATGTGACCACTGTTAGACCAAGGAGTCCTTTAACATTCCTATAATGAAACATTGGTTGAAAAGAAGCCACTTACAATAGCATCGTCGCAGAGCAAACAATGCGATTCTAATAATTGACTGTTACTGAGAAATACTCTGCTGAGACTCTTCAAATGGTCAAACTATTAAATTTTAAACTATTACCATTTAAAGATAAACATATTATTTTCAAATATAATATCGTATATATAATTCTTACTTTTCGCGAGTAACTATTTAAGAATGGAAATTTTAAATTCAAAATTTAAACAAAAGTAATACATATCATAATGCTTGTAAAGCTTTGAAAGGTTTACAATACGAAATTTGGCCTTTAAATCGTAGCCGCCATAATAATGCCGGATAATATAAGATATGTCGGGCCTTAGTTAAATAGATTGTATTAAACTAATTAATTTCGCGTTTAAAACCGTTAAAAGTGTTTTATTTAAATACGTAATCGCGTAAACTAAAGACAATACGATGATTGTAAAACTATAAACAAAAACTATTTCAAACTAAATAACAAATAAAACTTTAACGATTTAAAACGCGATATAAAAAAAACTTTAACGATTTAAAACGCGATATACAGCAGTTAAAGTCTCCCCGTGATCACGACTGCAAAACATACGAAACGTAAAGCCGTAGTTAAAATAATTTCCAAATAAGTTTAACTAATATGTATCGCATTTTAAACCGATAAAAGTGTTTTGCAAACTGTTTACCTACAAAACAAGTTTCAAAATAATTCTTTAATAAAAAAAATAAACCGACAACGCATCGATGCGTTGCGCGCAGTTAACGCTAAGAAGTTAAAAGTTGTATACGCACCGCGCGCCGTTATTCGTAGGGCGTCGTAGCGCGTAGCCGTTAGCCGTTAGTCCGTTGCACTTACCTTGCACCCTTCGCACGAAGTGACGCCGTAGTGGTATCCGGAAGCTTTGTCCCCGCACACCTTGCACGGAGCGGCCGCCTTCCCGCTCCCCGCGCCTGCGCCCTCCGCTTGCTCTGCAACAGATTGCATATTATCTACAGCGTAGGAGCCGACCGCGGATTCGGACAACTATCTCCGAGAACAACTAAGAGCTGGTTTTAGCAAATTTAATGCCAAATCTGAACATCTACTGTAACATATTACAATCCCAGCATCCAAATAAATATCCAAAGCCAAAATAAGTCGACAGCACATCTTGTTTAAATATTATATGGCTGGGGTATTTCATCTCCCATGAAGCGAGCCCCAAGCTTGTCTGTTCTTCGTCTTCTCTATTATAAATAAGGCTTTTATATGATTTGTCACTTATATTTAGACAAAACATTGAGTGATGTAAGTAAATTAAGACTAACAAACATATTTGTTTACATTCTGACACGAGTTTTCAAATTTAATATGAAATGAAAACCGGTATGTACTGGAAAAAAATGAAATAATAAACCACTATAACTAATAAAACATAGTATTCGTAAATTACTTATTTACATTTAAAAAAGTTAGTCCAGCGGGCTTAACGTCTACGGCGATTTCTTCCAGGCAACCATTGAATACAAGAAAAAAAGAGACAACAAGGATGCTAAAAAAACGTCGAAAACCTAAAGAAGTCTTCTAAAATAAACATTGAGTGTATTTAGTCAGTGACTAAATACTGTCTGTAGTTTTACGCGAGTAGTACACATTCAAATAAAACACTTTAACGGTTTAAAACGCGATATTTATTAATTAAACTTATTTGATATTAATTATTTTCTTTATCGTCTCCCCGTGACCACGGCTGCTGCAAGGCATCCCAAACGTCCCAATCCCAAAATAAGTTTAACCAATATATATCGCGTTTTAAACAGTTAAAGTGTTGTATTTAAATACTTACTGTTGTTGTAGTCCAGCTCTTAAACTATATTGTTACGAAGTCGTGTTAAGAGGATGCCAGAAGCTTATTAATGCATCTGAGTGCTTCAGTTGAAATTTCAAATGGTTTTAGCTTAACAAGATGACGCCTAGACGTACCCAAAACCAATTAGAGGGCGTTTATGTTATAGTGGCCTAAATACATACTATTTTACTATGTATTTAGACATATTGTACTTTTTGCAAACCCTTTCATCTTTATAAACTTAGCTGTTACCCACGACGTCGGTCGCATCCCTCCCTGTCGTTCTTGCAAGTTAATTTTAAAAGATAGTCATATAACGGCGCGAACTTTTTTTATATGGTTTAAAAAGGAATAAAATTTCAAAAACATTTATTCACTAAGGTAACAAAACTAAAGACTCTAAATCTACATTTACTATCAGTTCTCAAATCAAGGGCGTAGAACGAACGAGAAGAACTGGCAATAAACTCGCCGCCACTCCTTTTCTTGCCAGGTCTAATTTTACAGTTACACGTATTTGTGCACTACATATTTTTTTTCTTGTTATAGCAGGTTCCTCAATAGCTTTAAAGTTCAAATGCTTTATATTATAATTCAAATAGTAACTGTATTAAGAATCCCGTTTAACTTTATAGAAACGGTTTTTAACAACGATTTAAACTGAAAATATTTTATTTCGTCCGTCTGTTTTGGTTAATGATGCTCATTGTTCGATACCTCTGCCGAATATAATATATATATAGAAACATATATTTTATAATTTTTCTGAACTTGTGGACTTCATCTGTAAATCAGGATATTTAATGGGTATTAATATCGCGTTTCGATTTCAGTAATGGATTTCCGAACATCCAAAGTGGAAATAGGTCGATAGCACAACAATAAAAATTTACATGAATAAACGGTTCCTTTTTGAAAACTTTATTATTTTTTTTGATTTTTTTTTTGGCACATGAAGGTACTATATAATTTAAGAATTCAAAATAAATTTAAAAAATTTTCGACTCGGGCCGGACTTGAACCGGCATCGTCAGCGTTCAGAGCCACCACATGCCGGTTGAAGTCCTGCCCGAGTCGAAAATTTTTTCAATTTATTTGCGATTCTTAAAATAAACAGTCCCTTTTTCAGTGTCTTATAGTGACGAAAAGTCCTTTACGTCGACAGTGCAAGGGTCTCCAATAAAAAATGAAGCCTAACTGGGGCACCTGTTATCGAGGTTATTTCCCGCTATGAGAAAATTAGTTTACCTCCAGCTTCCGTTGTTCAGGTACGCTAAGGTAAATCCAATTGCCTATATTACCGTTACTCTAATCATTCAATATTCAATATTCCACGTCTACTTTATATATCTCTAGAACACTATAGTTATTTAAAACAACCTACGTTACGGTACCTATTATAATTCCTGAAGTAAGGGGAGGGGAGAAGTTTATTATAAGAAAATTATTATAACATAAATCCTGAAATATTATAAGGTCAATAACACTTTGTATCATATACTAATAATAATAGATTCCAAACCACGGCATTACGAAAAACGGGAGGACAACGTTAGTCAGTTCTAAGAACCGAAATAATTTCTTTAAATACCTACGAGAAAACAGATGGCGCTAGCGTAGCAGATTTTTCACTTGACATTACGGAAATCCTTGATCTTCAGTCCCCCCGTGGCCACGGCGGTTGCAAAGCATTCGCAAAAGATTAACGGGCCAATAAATATCGTTATGCACGTTCTCTGTGGAACTACCACGCTCTAATCATCAAAAATTGCCAGCTGTGGGAATAGTAAATATTTAAACAAAGGTAAGTGTTGTCAGAAATCTACGTGACTAGTAGATTAACATTTTTAGACTATAAAATATAAATACGTCAAGTCATAAAATTGTAGTTAGGCTACTCTGGCTCTAGCAGCCTCTTATATCTATACACTTGATAATAATGTATACATGTATAGTGAGATTTTTTTATGAAGAACGTCCGTGTCGATATATGTATTTCCTTTCAAAGTGCTAAGTGTTGAACCATTTTGAATTGTGAATTTAAGTATCTGTTGAATAAAAATTTAAAAAAATCTACTACCTATTTAAGCATCGCACTGTAACTAAAAGGGGCGTAGAAACAGCGGGAAATGTGGAGAAAACGGGGATAATTGCTCATCTTTGTGGCTTTCTAAAATTAGCTAAAAAAATGTTCATGACACTGTAAATCTTTTAAGATAGACTTGCAAGAACGACGGGACGCGACGTTGTGGGTAATAGCTTAAATTTATAAAGATGAGAAAGAGCCCAAAATTACTTTACTGCGCAGACGAAGTCGCTGACACAGCTAGTCTTTATAAAGTTAAACTTTTTAAACTTATAAATTTTGCGTTTTAAGCCGTTGAAAGTGATTTTAAATGTGTACTAGATTAGCTTAATGTCCGGATTTCCTAAGTACGAAATGGTTCTACAACAAACAATTTTCTTTCAAAACCCCACGTCTTGATGGAAATTAAAATACCCCAATCATATAACATCGCGATCGAACTTCACGGCTTCTTCATCTGTGACGAAATTTTCGATATTCCTACCCATTTGATATCCAGATATCCAGACATCTCGGAGTCGATGGGGATCGAACCCAGATTATTCGCCATACATATTATCAACGAGTCCTTTGAAGACTAAAATCTCGTGTTAACGATGCAAAGATTATTTACACGCGTTAATCTATGGCATCGCTGTATAATACAGAAAGTTCACTGCAGTCAATGCAACACAATAGCAGCGAGATAATGGATTTACAAATAGCTAAGAAGTGCTAAGTTCTTGCCCTTTGAGACGCGACTCGGTCTAAATATCTTTTCAAATCCTTCATACTATTCATAGCGAATCGATTGACTATTGTCTTGTTATTGTTGACAAAAATATTCTTTTACTATCTAACATGATACCTGGAACTTTATTTTATATAATTTATTTACCATAAAAAGATATATTTGTACAATTATATCAAAAACGCCAAACTGCTGGACAGTTTGTTGGCGATAGTGGCGCTCTTATTCTAGCAAGCATTTTCACTTATTAAGTACGGTACATAATATTTTTACATATGTATGTTATGTTAGGTATCTTTATATAATACTGTTTGCGACTATAAACTTATTTTTTATTAAATATTACTATTTTATACATTAAGTAGTAACTTATGTATACATTTTTAACTAGTGGTTCTTGTCAGTTTAATCTAAAAGATAGACATATACTGCCGGGAATTTTTTAGATCGTATGAATAGATATTATTCTATCATGCATATTCCTTTGGTTTCTTGTTATTGCGGCAGTTGCCAACCGTTTTTGCACCGTACGCAACAGAAGCACTCAAAGATGAATAGTTTCCCCGTACTATCCAAATCTCCCTGTATTGTTGTTGTTTTAAAGCTTAAATCTCTCCTCGATAAAATCCAACACAAAAATATTTTACAATACAAACTAGTACTTCCTGAGATTAGAGCGTTCAAACAAATAAGCTTTTCAGCTAAATATTAGTATAGATCATAAGATTTATTAACGAAGATTGATCCTTGTCCCGAACCGATAATTCGGTTAAAACTAACTTTTGGGTACTGACTGACTGTTGGCGACTGTTTCACAAACAGTTTGTGTGTGATAATTTTTTACAATCAAATAACTATATTTTCTAGGAACCTCTACTGAAAATCAAACTTACTTACTTACAAGAATTAAAAGCATGTATTTGCAAACCGGCTCTTCGACCATATCATATGTACATAATATTAGCTTTGTGTTGCATTATTTACATGATCTCTCTCAGCTTACTAGAATCAGTTCAGAGTTGCCTTATAAGCGGTACAGACTATTTGTGTTCAGAAATGGCATTTGAATAGACTAGGAGCCCTGTACGATTCTTAGTGTATTCCCGTTTTGGTAGACCATGTCAATGAAAATTTATGTACATCAATCATACATGTGTCGTAATAAAAGTCGCTGTTTCTATCTTACGTAGTCGCAGATTCGATTATTGCTTGTAGACAAAAATGTGAATAAAGTGAGAGTTGACTATGTACCCATACATAAATACATGGGACCATGTAACAATTTAATATTAATAGCTTTTAAATAAAACACTTTAACGGTTTAAAAGATGCTATATATT